CGCCATCTTTCGCGTGAAACTCATTTTTATTTCAAAAAGACTATGTAGTTTTAAAGGAAACTGGTCATAGGTAGTGTTTATCACAAATTTATCTTCTGACCCTCACACAGAAAAACACGTCACTACCACTGGTGCATTTCAACATTGATTGTTCTTTCTCGATTCATATTTTTCATCAGGCAACGTACTATTATTATTATAAGAAGTTTTTGTAAATGAGTTAAAAATAAACGAACAATAAAATATCAACATTATCTACGAATGAAAATTTTTTTAAGTAAGCTATCATTTGAAACAAAAAAAAGACTTCGGAAAATAATAATCTGATAAGAAAGCGTATTTAAATACGAATTATTTTTCTAAATAAAACAATATGAACGAATAATAGCGTGAATATGCATTTTTTCATCGAATAATAACTGTTTTCTTGAGCTAATTCTTTTTTTTTTTAATAGTTTTATTTTCATATAAGCTACAGAAGAAATATTTCATAAGAATTAATTAAACATTCTATTGATGATTTCTTCTACTGGTACCATTACATAGCAACAAGTTATTTTCTTTTATTTCAAATACATTTGTGTATTGTCAACAAAATTTTAATAAGTAAACTGATTAATTGACTTAAAAAAGCAAAATATTGAAATCAATAGTAGAATAAATTCGAAAATCTATTCATATTTCAAGTGAATATCGAACAAATTGACTTCATGAAACTATTGTGTTCTAATACAGTAATGAGTTAGACAGAGAAAGAGTAAATATAAGACTCACACGAATTATACAATTTATCAGTATTTGCATAAAACTTATATATTAACAAGTGACATTTAATTGATGAAGATTTCCATAAAAAACAAGAGTCATCAATTCTTAACCGCATAATCTATATCGAGGAGCTACTCTTAGGTTCGATGCATGGATAGTTCTAATCTATTAGAAATAGTTGAATATTTATCATTTATGACAAATTCGAGGTTGTTCAGAAAATAACAATGGTAAGCAAGGAAGTGAAGACTAAGATTCCATTGATTACAACATCTAAGTAATAATTTCGTTCAACAGTTCATGATAGCCTTCACCGAGTTTTCCAGTTATATATGTATGTATATATATCATTTTTTTTTCAAGATTCTCTGTCATAGTACATGTTTCTCGAAGAACAAAGTTCTATGAATACGCTTGTATGTTACAACGGAGGAACATGCGTCGTCTGAGTGTTTCAAGTAAATCAGAGGAAAGAAAAAAGGTCGTTGCGTACGTTATGCCGTATATATATATACCCAGTTAAAGTTCAGATCAAAACACGTATTTCGAACGAACTAAATCTTAAAAATATGTCCTCTAAGGATGAAAAAATGACTATTGGTAATTATTTGCTTCGACGTTTAAAATCATTGGATGTTGACATTATATTTGGAGTACCCGGTGATTATAATTTGGTAAAATATTTCTCATTTTTATGATTGAAAAACAACTTTTGGTTTTGTTTTTTGTTTTTTTTAGTCATTCCTTGATCAAATTGAAGGTGATATTTATTTATTAATGAACATTTTCGTTTTTTATTTTTATGATTATTTATCATTTCCATAGACTTTGATGGTATTCAGTGGGGTAATAATTGTAATGAATTGAATGCATCGTATGCAGCTGATGGTTACGCACGTATTCGTGGCATTGGAGTCAGCTATAGATCACAATCTAAATATTCATCATATTTTTTTATTATATTGTTAGGTTCTTGTAACAACATTTGGTGTTGGTGAGTTATCAGCTATCAATGGTAAGATTTTTTTTTTTTTTGATTTTTGATAAATTATATTTGAAAAAATAAATAAATGATATATCAGGTATTGCTGGTTCATTTGCTGAAATGGTTCCGGTCGTTCATATTGTTGGAATGCCACCAACAGTTTCTCAATCAAATGGTGCGATTCTTCATCATACACTGGGTAATGGAGATTTTCGAGTTTTTGCAAATATGTTTAAAGAAGTAACTGTAAGTTTTTTTTAATTTATATTAAACGTAATATAGAACAGAATTATTATTATTAAAGATAGCTCAAACAATCTTAACAAAAAATAATGCTATCGAAGAAATCGATCGTGTTCTTACTCAATGGTATTATAGTAGTTTTTGTTAAATTTTACTTAAATATATTTTGTATTTAGTTTGCTCAAAGGTCGACCAGTTTATATTGGATTAGCAATAGATCTTAGTGATTTTGAAGTTAACGTTGAGTCATCAAATCTAAAACCGCTTGAATTAAAAATTCCACATAATCCAAAAGAAACTCATGCAGCAGCCATTGAAGCTGTTATCAATGCTGCTAAAAGAGCTCAAAATATAGTCGTCATTGTTGATGCGTAAAAAAATAATCTATTGTGAGATTTTCATATGAAAAATTATTATTTTTTCTTTCTCATTTAGATGTGCTATTCGACATGATTTAATGAAAACAGTTTTAAAGTTTATTGAACATACTCAATTACCAATATATGTCACACCTATGGCTAAAGGTGGTATTGATGAAAATCATCCACAATTTCGTGGTGTTTTTGCTGGAAATTGTTCACTGGAACAAGTACAAAAAGAAGTTTATGCTGCTAATCTTGTTCTTTCAATTGGATCTATGAATAGTGATTTTAATACTGGTGGTTTTACTTATCGTTTACTACCAAAGAAAACAATTGGTAAATAATATTAGATGTTTCAGAAAAAATGCGCCTCTCTATATTTTAAATGGTCAATTTTTTTTATTAAGAGTATTGTTCGACGCTCAATGTTTCTTGTTCATCATAAATAGAAAGATGTCCTACTGAAATATCTAGTCTTTTTCGAAGATTTCATTTTCATATTTTACTATTACTCAAAGAATATTGCAAACTTATTGAGTATGATCGAATATTCTGTGTTCGAAAATGATCTTCGGTGCCAAATTGGATATTTCAAGAGGACAGTACTGAACAACCTCGTATACATAAATTAACATAATAATAATGTCAGAACATCTTTCCATGTATGATTAAAAAAGAAACATTGATTATCGAATAGTTTAAATATAAATCATGAACCAACTTACAGTCAAAAAAAACTTTTTTTTAGGAAATTTTTTATCTTTAATATATCGTTTAAAGCGTTTCCTGAAGAATAACGAAAGTTATTTCTATTAATAAAAAATAAACTATTTTGTAGAGAATTTTTCTTGAAATGCTCGATAATAATAATAATAAGTTATTCTGAGTAATGTATGTATTATATTATATTTAGAATTTCATACATATCATACAAAAGTTTTCTATGCAATTTATGACAAAGTTGATATGCATCAACTTTTACCCGATCTAACTGAAATGTGGCCAGCTGAACTTATTCGTCCATATAATGGCAAACCATTTGAAATCCCACAACCAGTATTAGATGATAAGAATAATGAAATAATACATAAGTATTTTTGGCATAAATTACCAGATTTTATTCCAGAAAATTCAATTGTTCTTGCAGAAACCGGTACAGCAGAATTTGGTAAGCTCAATTAACATAAATTAATTGTCAATATGATTTGAATTTAAAGGTATTTTTAATATGCGTGCACCACGAGGTGTTACATTTTTAACTCAGATATTATGGGGCACAATTGGATATACTGTTGGTGCAGCTTTAGGAGCATCTTTAGCTGGAAAATCTGATAATCGTCGAGTTTTTCTTTTAGTTGGAGATGGGTCTTTTCAAGTAATCGATTTAAATAATAAATAGAATAGATAAAATATTTTGTTTGATTGAATATTGTAGCTTGTTTGTCAAGAAGTATCAACTATGTTACGTTTTCAAACAAATATAGTTCTTATATTATTAAATAATGATGGTTATACTATTGAAAAACTTATTCACGGACCTCAACGTGCTTATAATAATATTCAAATGTGGCGTTATCATAAGATTTTTGAATGTTTTGGTGATGGATTGAAACAAAATCGTCCACAATCGATAACTGGTTTTGCTGGTCAAGTTAAAACTCGTGAGGAATTCGAAAAAGCAATGCAACAGGTTGTTAATGAAACCAATAAAATTCATTTTGTTGAAGTTGTTATGCCATCAATGGATGCACCAAAAAGTTTAATTGTTACTATTGAAGGTACACGTGAATACAAACGACGAGAACGTGAAGGACAAGAATAATATTATATTGAACAAGGAAATATTTTAAATGACCTTTTATTTAAGCTACCTAACATTTATTAATTGTAGTATACTTTTTTAATTAATAAATAGATCTTTTTTTTTATTGATACAACGATTCAACCAATAATAATCATATATTTCATTCAAGATGATAATGATATTAAATTTTTGTTAAAAATGATCAATCATAATGAAATAAGCTTTATCTGTTTGTTTTGACAACAGAAGAAATAATTACATATCGAGTGTGGATGTCGATGTGGGATAATAGAACAGCCACATCTACACCCAGACTCACATCTCACCTAGACCCTAGCCACATTCATTTGTGCCACACTTCTTCACAGATAGATATGGCATCTCCCCCAATGGCATCTCTTATGAATGTTGATGTGGAAGAAAGTGTCACGGATGAGTCTTTTTGTGATTAGTCTAGCAACTCCTACATCTCCCTGCACTTCTCCAGTTTGTCCGATTTCTTAGATATGTGACATTTCTCCATTGTTCGCAAGGCTGCAATCTTACAACAGAATTCGTATGGTCTATATCAGTATCTCGAAGTTGCACAACTCAAGTAGCTCTGATCGTTATAGTGATCACTGTGTGTTGGAGTGGTTTGAAGACTTTTCTATTCTCTTTCACTTTCTTCTTCACCGTTTCGCTGAGTTTTTTTTCTCAGCAGTATCATTATTATAGCATTGAGCAAATAGAAATTTCTTTTTACTGGAAGCACAAGCAATGATTAACTTGTTATTTCATCGATAAGTTAAAATGTATAAGTGTGACAAAGAATTTTATCATTTTGTTTCCTAAGTACAATTTGACGTTACGAAAAAAAAAATTGTTTCGAAACAAAACCATGTTTGTTGTCACAGTAAGACCAGCAGCTTCTCTAGAGTAGAATAGGGTAGTGTTTTCCCAAAAAGCAATACAATAAATATAGAGCATCCTATTGAGATATGAAATTTTAAGCAAACAATTGAATATAGTGGAAGTCAGATAAAGAAATAATTTATTGACTATTTTTAGACTCTTACTATCTCCTTTGTAGGACAAGAAACACAATACAAAGGAAAAACACATAAATAGTTAAGAAATAAAAATAAAAATAAACAAGCTTTAGTGCTTTTGGACGCGAACCGTTTTGATCACCTCTGACAGTAAGATAAGATTTTCATTAGTCTACTATCCTCTGATAACACCAGTGAAAATAATATCCATCATAACATTCAAAGTTCAGCTCTAATAAATGTTTGACGATCAAAGTCAGAGTGAGGGTGTGATTAAAGAGAAACCTGTACGCAGGCCCATGCCTGCTAAACAATTCGAGGCAAAAGTTTACTTTTTATAGTGTTTTCTGACAGGTATTCTGTCATTTTTGACGCACGGAATATAATTATAGCCTTTTTTTTGTGAATGATACATCTGCAAAATACCGTGAACATAGACTATAACATAAATTCTGAGATACGCAATGTGGATCCTATTTGATGTCTCAAAACAAATATCACTACAGGTCTCGATGATTCATCAGTTTCTTTCATATAAAGATCCAGCGCTTAAACTATCGTAATCTATTTTAAAGGTTAGACAGATATTCTTCAATCGGAGATAGAGCACGATTGTGTCTTTTATGCTATGATATATATATATGGGTTGCAGTGTTGTGAGAGGTTATTTTTCAATTCGAGCAATGCAGTTGCGTGCTCCTTGGCAATTTATCTTATTACTCCTATTTGTCGGAGATGCCATTGCAATTTCCAGTCCAATTCCACCGTTCACATCCTATCAATATTCCACTCAACTTCAACTAGGTATAGCCGATCTTTGGTGGACAGTAGACAATATCACGCGAGAGATTACCTTCGAGTTGCATATGAAGACCACAGGATGGATTTCTCTAGGTATCAGTCCAGGTAAACATTGATGGGTCCATGTTGTATTGTACAAGTAATGCCGTTCTAGCTGGTGGCATGACAGGCGCGGATGTCGGTATTGGATGGGTCGATGCAACAGGCAAAATTCATTTTCAAGTATATGGGTGTATTTTTCGTCTGTTTGTTTTTTTCTTTTGAGTCATCATCGTGTAGGATCGATTTGCATACAACTTTCTTTTCAAGACCAATCATTGATAAGACAACAAACGACTGGTTTGCTCTTCAAGGTCGTGAACAAGATGGATGGACTGCTATACAATTCAATCGTCGTCTTAACACATGTGATTCCATGGATGTTCCTATTAAAGTAGAATATAAAAGTTTGTATGCTGTTTGTAATAATGATTCTCGATTTCAGTCTGGAACGAATGTTCTCATATATGCTTATGGTCTGGTCGATCCAGATGGCGACATCACTTATCATGAAGATCGACGTGGCTCACGTATGATTCCACTTCAATCCTATGCAAATCCACCAACTGAAGATAAGTTTGCTGATCTCGAATATTTTGAATTTCGTTTGAATAATGTGAGTTAATAACTGAAATGATTCCATTGCTATCATCGTATACTGCTCTTTTCAGTATATCGTTCCATCGACAGGTACTAGTTATCATTGTAAAGTGTACAAAGCTCCGGTCGGATATTCGAGCAAACAACACGCTATTGCTGTAATAATCTAACAGATTCTCTTACCAAACTTCATTATTCTATTTAGTATAAGGCATTGATCGATCCGAAAAATATCGATCTTGTACATCATCTTGTCGTGTATGAATGCAATTCAAAGGCTGTATTCAATGACAAGAAACTGCCGAATGGTCTGTGTGATGATCTCGTCGAAGAATTTATTGATTGTTTAGATAACATCGCTACTACTTGGGCGGTGGGTGGTGACGAGGTACAATGCGGTTTTTTATTTAATTCTTTTTCCAGAGTTTCCTCAATGATCATTTGAATAGATTGTAGAGTTTCCACAAGAAGCTGGCTATCCTGTTGGAGGTGATTTTGACATTAAATATTACATGGTTCAAATGCATTATGATAACCCACGGCTAATGTCAAGTATAAAATTACTCTCATAAGAAGAACAAGAAACAGAACAATTTAGATATTTTCCATTTTTTGAGGTCGTCGTGACAGTTCGGGCATTCGATTCTACGTTGGAAAAGAACTTCGTCAACATGATATTGGCTACCTCACCTTTGGAACTAATGCAAGCGCTATTGCTCTGGCTATCCCACCAAAAGTTGACCGATTTGTAGTCGATTCGTATTGTCCTAACAAGATTAGCTATGTATGGTTTTATTCTTACATTTATTTCTGATCGTGAAACATAATCAAATATTTTCTGAGCCAGATTTTTCGTCATTAGTAGAATTCGATAAAACCTGATAGGTCGAACTGCATAAAAAAACTTTGTCTTTTAGAAAATCGGCATTGTCACCTATAGGTAAGTTTCAGAGATGTGAAGTTTTTGAGTACAATAGTTTATTACAGATTACTTTTAAGTAAAACTCAGCCCAAAAATTTGAAATGGATTGAAAATTGAGGAAAACAACCAGTTGCTCAAAAATGAATGATTCCCACAATAAACAAAATCCAAAATTAGTTCGACCAACTTTGTATTATCATCAGCCATAATGTTAACAAAATCAATTTGTCTGCGTCTTGTTCTAAATTACTTTTCAGATTTAGTTCAGTTTCGAGCTCTTGAGCGTATCTTCGAAAAATCTCTGTCTACATTCAATAGATGAATGAAATAATATTTGTTTAGATGTTTCCTGAGTCTGGCATCACAGTCATTTCAGCATTTCCTCACACTCATCTTCAAGGCAAGTGAAAGATAAATCGTAATTAGACTAGAATAAAATATGCATAGGTCGAAGTATTTGGACTAAGTTGATTCGAAATAAAACGGGTGTTAAATACTTGTTCAATGGTGAGGCCTATGATTTCAACTATCAATTCGACAATCGGCTGCCACAACCCATTAAGCTCTATCCAGTGAGAAAGGTCACTAATTGAGAATGGTCCATTTCATATTTTCACCTTAGGGCGACGAGTTTGCTACGCGATGCGTGTACAACACTATGAATAAGGACGTAGTCACACTGGTAATTTACTTTCGAAAACATTGATTCCGAGATATTGATTTCGTATCTTTAGGGTGGTCAACGAACACAAGATGAAATGTGTTCTCATAGTTTCACCTACTATCCTCGCATAAATAATGTGTATGTATGTATGACATGTACTCATCCAGAAGCGTGGCAAACAATGAGAAACGAAACGCTGTAAGTTTCAAATCATATTTAGTATAAAACATTCGTTTTGTCTCTTGTGCAGTGTCAATTATAATTACGGAGATGTGATGCAGTGGATAAAAAGCATCGAATGGACGCCAACAATAGCTGCTCAATGGCAAGAATTCTTTAATAATGCTCCACGCCATATTTATTATGGTCTTACAGAAAATTTATCATGGGAAAAGTTTGATATGCCCAAATATAAAGATTTAGAGACTGAATCGTGCCCAATGGTACTTGTACCAAATATAGAAAAACTTGGCTAGTCATCGGAATGACATTCTTTTTTTTTTGATGATTTTGATTCCTTTCGTCATGACCGTCATACTTATTTAGTGCGTAGGTCTACGAAGGACTGATGCTAGCTAAATAAATAAAAACGAGCTTTACGCAACCGAGGAACTATTTGTTATTACTGTTACATTGGTGAATGTACAGAAAGAAACATTCGGTATTGTTTGAAAGAGTTTACTAAGACTGAATGGTCGACTAACAACTTTTCGTTCCTCAGCGTTTGAAATATTTTCAATCAATCAGAAGCTTTTTTTCAAAGCAGCTGCCAAATTTTGAGCAATACAATAAGCTCTAATGGTGGAAGATAGAAACAAGAGTATGGCAGCAAGGTCAAGCACGGCTTCGGTTGGCATAAAGACAACTAGATAGAAACTACTCAGGAGCAATAGACTTGTAAGTCCAGCAAAGAGAATGAAAAATTCGCTTGTAATTACAGCCAGCAGCCATCATTTCTGCGTAGAAGCTTCGAATACAATGAGCTAGGAAACAAAGAGGGTGTGGATGTGGGTGAAGAAAATATAACACCCACAGCCACACCTTAATATACTAAGTGAAACATGACAATATTATACGTCTAAAGATGATAGTTTTTACCGAATTAAAACAAACAAACTGTAGTTGTTATGGCTTGCATCTTGTTCAGATATAGATATAATGGTTTTCCCTCTTTATCTATAGATTCATACATATACTCTTATGTTCTTGTACTTTTTTCTTGTTGTTAGCCATGCTTCCTGAATTTTTCTTACCTGTCATATATGAATATGTGATGGACTTTTCTATTTCTTTCTATGCTTCTTTCTTTCATGTTGTTCTACGAATTTCTCTTGTTTGGTTCATCGTTCATGGGATCTTCCAATAAGAACTTTCCTTATGCTGTCTACTTATATATATTCGCTGGCTTGTTGCAAAGATTGGATTCAAAAATATAAGAAGGGTGTGGATATGCGGTATGAGTTTTCTCTTCATTGAGACCCACTCCCACATTTACTCATATCCACACCACTTCTCACACTCTTCATTCACTCACCCACGCACACGCCCACACCCTTTTTAGCATATCTAAATGTTTAAAAATTTATTTCAAACTTATTACGCGTTAAAATGTGTGATTTTTACGATTTGGAACGTGTTTATTTTACACGTTTTTTATTGATTTTGTCTGATTGGAATGATTCCCGAACTCGTTTTTCCTGGTTCGGGAAAGTTCCTACTATCAAGGCAATCGATCATATTTGTTTGTTTTTCTTGTGCGATTGCATTTCTCTGTCTGCAAGTGGCACAAAATGTTAATGTTCTTGAACTTGTAAATTTTTATATACACACAAGGTGACTCAGTGTACCTTGTAATTTGCAGCGATAATGCATTTTTATGAGTAACTCGTGAGATAATGATTCATTGCACCACGAAAGGGATTCCTGATAAAAGATTCTATAGCATGTTCCATGTAAGCTAGATGCGTTTACTCATCCATTCGTAAGATGCGATATTTTAGTGCAAAATATCTTGTATTACGTGCTTTATTTATTTTTTTATCATTTGCGTTTGAAAAGTTTTCGTATTGCGCATCTTTTCTCTAACTGGCGGTAATGAATCTCGATCTGTCAGCCTATTAAAATGAAGGCTGTTGTTATTGTTTTTTTCATTCTGTTATTCTTTTCTATTACCATTCTCAGTGCCTCTTTTTTGTTTTTAGTGATTTTAACTCTAGTCGACAAACATAAAGGATGTAATTATTTGGATTTTTCCAACTTACGACTCGACTTTGTATTTTGCTTGGTTGGAAGGAAGTAAGTTGTCTATCATGCGTATTTGCCATCGTGACTTGTCATATATGCATATATATATACCAACTCATTGATTTCAGATCAAGCCAGCGTCGATTTCCAACATAGCTTTTATGAGGAATCAGCATCAGTTCTAAGAAAAAGAGCCACGCAATATTTTACTTATACGAGTGTGTGCATACGTATAAGCCCAGGTGAATCGATTCTAGTCGATTTTCGTGATCACTTCTAGCATTGCATATTTAGGTCATTCCCACTCGGTGGAAACTGCTCTACGCCAATGACTTCTTCCGATTTTCTTGTACGTAGATTCCAATATGAAGTTTTCAGATAAGTTTTGACTCGGCTTGACTCAAAGATTTCAATAAAATCGTGATCTACACTTTTTAAACTGCCCGGAACCCATCCAGTTTAATATGACCCTGGCATCCGGATCCAAACAAGTCTTCGAAACTTATGTTACTTAGTGAAAATGAAGAGATCTTCTGGGAACGATGGTCAGAAAATCAAGGAAGCCATCAGACTATGGATGTATCGAGATCAAGATGAATGTGGTCGAGAGTCTCGGTTTCGGTACGTCCCTACCGCGAGCTCTGATAGACTGAACTCATAATGTAGATAGCAATTTCAGCTTCTTGGCTAATTGAAGTCAATTCGAGAGAGTAATTACAGTTTTTGTGGATCAGGTATGGAATATGCCTAGGTCTATATAAGATTCATCGATTTAATTTTGAGGATGTCACACACAGACATTCTCAAAATATATTGATCGATGAAACACAAATGACTTCACTTGCAGAAACGAGTAATTTTCGGAAGGTATTGGCCTCATTGACTGCTGCTTGTTCTTGCGAAATCAGTCAATAGTATTAAGGTGATAATGAACTGTCTAACGCCGCTGTTTTAAGAACACACTGTATATTCCATCTACCAGATACAGGAACTTATCTGAATATGTTGGAGAACAACTTAAGATTCGAGTTTTTCCTATAAGAGAAATAAAAAACCTTTAACATTCGGTGCGATCGATTGAAAATCGGAGTGATAAGAAAATATAAATTTGAATAAACGTTGTGCGGATTACCTAAGTAGATATTTTCGTATCAAGTTATTATCACCATGAGATCCTTTTATAAATTAGTTGATGATCATAGCGAAAATCTGAATCACACGTTTTCTATACGACAGTCATTGTATGATGATATACTTTTGGTTCTTCGCAATGACTGGCGTGAGCTAGGGCTCAAACTCTACGTAGATAAGAATTTTAAATTAATCACACTTTGTGACTTAGCTACTTTAAAAATTGGTAAAATAGACAGAACAAATGTTGCACCTAAAATACTTATATATAAGATGATATCAGTTTCAATCGCTTGATTTACTGAATTTATTCAACTCTAATTTTCGCAACTCAGATGATGTCGATTCAACAACATTACCAACAATGACACTCGTTCAAGCGTGCAAACCTATGTTAGTACAGGATCTTTAATTCCTTTTGCAGCATGTAACTGTAATGGCACTTGTTCAACAAAGAAATATTATTGTCGGGCAGCAAAAGTAGAATGTGGTACCAAATGTCATTCATCAAACATGAAACCATATTCAGTGTCAAGTTCGAGCTTCGTAGTTTTTACATAGAGAATAATACAGTTTGTAAAATGTGTTTCGGATTATCTAAACTTGTCCTATAAGAAAAATTTTACGTAAATCACCTGAATTTTAATTTTTTTTCTCCAACAAATATATTCCTTTGAATATTTGCGATCATTAGATGAACAGAAGAAAATATCAAGATTCTTCTACACCTAATACTATCTTCAAAAAATCAATTCATGGACGTGTTCAGTGTGATCATTTAACTATTATTTCAGATAATATATTCTCGTCTATAATGGGAGACGTATTACATTATGTGTCACATAAAAGTGGCTCAAATCAAATCAGTTCAAAGAGTATCTATGGATCAAAAGTCCTTGTTTCATCGGTTGTAAAGAAGTTTCAGTTATGTGCTCATCTGCGAAAAACAGGTGTATGTCATACAATGAATGCTATGAAAGCAGCTGGGCTCAGATATACAGGTATTGGTGATACTGCTCAATGCGATGTTTGCAATGTTGAAATATCTGGTTGGACGATGACTATGATACCTTTTATCATTCATGCAGAACGAAGCCCGAACTGTAGCTTTGTTCGCTCCATGCAGCCTTCTTCTTCAATAACTACTATCTCGTCTTGCCAATCAATAACAGTTTATCGTGCAGAAAATACGGTACAGTCGAACAACAACGAAAATCCACCCAAACGACAAAAGATTGAAACTTTTTCTGAGCCTAATACTCTAAATCTTACTGAAATAAAAACACTGAAACAAATACGAAGACGTTCATTCTCAAATTGGCCACGCCATGCGTTACCGTCTCGAGATCAGATGATTGAAGCTGGCTTCTTCAATTGTAATGTGGGAGATCGTGTCATTTGCATTTATTGTAATCTTATCTGTCAACAATGGACGCCGCATTCTGACGATCCTTGTGAAATTCATAGAACTCTCAGACCTCAATGTCCATTCGTCATAAGCATGTTAATACACCATCGCACGCGCCCAATTTTAATTGTTAACGAATTGACCAATGATGACAGCTCAGTAGGGGCTGGAACTATTGCTTTGAATGGATTTCATAGCAATGAGATTGTGCTCACATCGGCCTATCATAACGGTTATATAGAGATTCCAAAACGCCTTGCATCGTTTGTCACTTGGCATACTGACTCTTTACCATCGGCGGATGATCTCGCTCGTGCTGGATTCTTCTACACTGGAACAAATACCGTTGTCACGTGCTTTTATTGTAATGGTTCACTACAGAACTGGGGTCCCAATGACAACGCAACTATCGAACATGCACGATGGTTTCCACACTGTGGCTATGCTAAACAACTTTGTGGAGATGTACTCCATCGAAAAATTCAAGAGTCCAAGCGAATACAACAGGGTAAATCGTTCATAGAAATGTTTCTTTTTGTATGAGCATTCTTCATATATTTTTGAATTTTAGAACGATCTAGAGCCAATGAGTCAAAAGAGAGAAATGATGTTGCTGGCATCAATAATAGCCATTCATCTATAAATGGTTTCAAGTTGTACATACCAGATGAGAACACATTATCACGTTTGGTAGCTGCTCGCTTGGATTTACCAATTTCGCAGTTTTTGCTCAATCAAAATTTCAAACTATCAATTATCAAACGTTGTTGGGAAGATCAACTGCGATTGAAACGTATGTAGAGTGCTGGATCTTACATTTTCAACTAAATAGAAAGTATTCATTTTTTCAAAACAAATAGAATCATTAATAACGCGATGTGCTCTAAGCAATTTAACTTTGAAAATAATCCGATTATCTTAACTCGTTTCCTACGTATCTGTTATTTTAATTGAGATAAACATCGCATGAACTCAGTGAAAAAAAAACATTTTCCAGTTTTACACTAGTAAACACTGATTTTTCTTGGCTTATATAAGTAGTTCTTCGACTGCTCTATTGATTGATTTTGGTTTCACTCAGACATTGTGAAGTCGAAGTATCGTCGCGTTTAAAAGGGCTATTGTTAAAATAGTTCAGGTTCAAGTTAAAGACCTGATGTCATAACAGAAAAACAAGACAACTGCAATAGCACTCGAGCTCATATTTTGTTTCTTTAGATTTTTAATGATTTTGTCTTTTCTTGTTTAGACGACGATTTTGCATCCGATTCAGATCTTCTCATCGCCTGTATTATACTGAAGAAACAGATAGAATATATTAATGGAAAAAAAGAAAACATCATTATTCCAAGTGTTGAAATGGAAAAGATTCATAATCATACCGAAAGAGAGCATGCAGGTACATATCGAATTAAGTTCGATTAATTGACCTTGCGTATATTTTTGTTTTAGAAGTTTTAACACATGAACAAACGAATGTATCTTCTACATATACAACACTTTCATCTCAGAAATTTGGTATTAATACATCAATCAGTACGGATATGGAAAAGTCAACATCCTGCCAATCACTTACCAACAAATCAATAGCATCGAGTTTATTGAATAATACGACAGAAGAAACGAAAACGAACAGCACATTAACAGCATCGGTTACAAAAACACAAAGATCTCCTGACCATTCATCGACATCGAACCTTTGTGTACTTTGCTTGTCAGAAGAAAAATGTATCGCCTGTATTCCATGCGGTCATTTCCTTACGTGTGTAGCTTGTGGATACTCATTACGATCATGTCCGCTGTGTCGGCGAGAGATCCAAGCTTTTGTAAGGATATATATCTGAGATTAAAGTTGTCGTTAGAGACTCAGCAGTAGTTTGTCCAAGCTATGGATGGAGTCAATATCTTATGCCAAGTCGAACTTGAATCGTGCGATTCGAATGCATCTCAAAACAGTTGCCACGAAGACGCTATTGACTCCAAGTTAAACTGAATATCTTAGCCACTGGAAATTGGGAAGCCTAAACGTTGATTCATGCATTGCTTGAACTATATTTCTAATGAACTCTGACGATGAACACACAAAAAAATAGAAAGACTTGGATAAATCTATATTTAATGTAAAATAGATTCACGATTGCGAAGTAAAATAAATACACGATGTCAATACTTGTTCTCTAATTGAAACAGTTTCATTGGCAATGTGAGTATTTCTCATTTCCGAAACTACATTCAAGTTTTACTCGAAGATATTGAAATAAAGATTAAGATTCAGTTTTGAAGATTGAAACCTAGCTTCTTTGAAATTTCAATATGATATTCAGAATCATTGTCAAAAATGATGCAAGATGATGCATCGGAGAAGTTATTGACAATATATTTTTGGGTCATCTGAAGTAAGAGTAATCGTAGTTGAACAGTCGAAGCTTTTTTGAATTGTTTGTTTCTAGAAAACTAGATTTGAGATGTTTCTACATTTTCTAGCGTAGTTAAAACGGCTCTCTACCATAGCGATCAAATATTGATGGAACTATAGGCAAAATATCAATAATTTTGCTTTTCTTTACAGTTTCTCATTGTGTTATATCTTTAAGAGCTGCCTTGTTCTTCATCACAAGTGAAAAACTCTTAGAGTTCTTCCAGAAAGACTTAATTCTCCATGGAAATATTTTTAAAAATATATTTATTTTGGTAATCATATTTGTTTTCCCGCATATATAAATGATTTATACGCGGAATTTCACTTTTTAGGATTCATGAAGTTTTCATTGAAGAATTTTATTATTGTTATGGTTGAAATACGAATACAATGATCTTTTTTGTAAATACACGTAAGAACAAGGAAGTTAATATTACAAGCTTTTCAAGTAATAAACACCACTAAAATTAACACTTTAGTTAGTAGGCATAAATGCTGAAGTTATTGAAGGAAAATATTAGTCGCGATTTCAGTTAACTGTTCTTAAAATTACTATGATGAGGTCGATGAAACGCTGTAACTGCTAGCTTGTAACTGTCTAATAGTTGTTCTAGTAATCCAAAGATCAAATTCATCAGGATTACCAGATGCAAGATGTATAGCACATGATTTTAGAAAATATTTGAAAGCTAATTCACTTGCCATCATAATAGCATAGAGTGAACCCAAACTATTATATGTCAGTGCAAGATCACTATGATTATCAGATGGTAATTTATGATGTATTTGTAACGCTTCTTGAATTAATTTTTTCTTCTTTTTGGTACTGTTGTCATGTTACATAGTCGTGATCTCTGTTGAAGAGACTAAGACCAATATCTAGATGATCTTCTAGTTGTCATATTGACGTGAAGGTGTCTTTTGATTTTTCTCAACATTCACGTGTTTTTTTTGATGTACTCAATTTGAAGTTTTTTTAAATATCGATCGAAATATTAATCATTTGTATCATAATCACCAACACGATACATTAATTCAGTCAAAATTATAATAAGTTGGATTTTCACCAACGAATTCACGTTTTTCGTGTTCAAACATCTGTTGATAATCTCTATTATCTTCAATACAAAGCTCTAATGATAAAATTCATCTTTTATTTTTAATGTTAAATTCAAGATTAATAGTTTGAAAGACAATATCTAACATGAAACAGAATATCTTTTTCATCTGGAAACAATATGTAATGATCGTTATTAGTATAAAGTTTCAAATTTTCCACTCTTAGAACCATCTTTACTTCAATGAATACAGAAATAAGATTATCATTCCGACTGCTGCAATCCTCTATTTCTATTGTTGATAGAAATGAAGTAAAAGATATAAATGATGCAATCGAATATTTTATCTGTTCAAATTCTTTTATAGCAATTAATTGACTAGGGTGTGGGTGTGGGTGTGAGGCGTCTTTTAATGCACACCCACATCCACACTTTAACCTTCTCTTTCAATCAGCAAAGTCAACTATTAATTCTCTTTGAAAAATAGAAAGAGAGTGAAAGAGAGAGAACGATCATTTCAGCGATACAGACGCTTAGTTGTTTGAAATTTTACTACTATTTTCATATGTTTTGACTATTAAGACAGAAAAAAATTTGTGTGGAGTTATTTTTTTATCATTCTGCTGTTGTCGAGAACGGTGAGTTATTTCTTTCTGTCATTGCAATCAAATAGCTTTTTGTTGATGACGAATCCTAAGAAGAGAAGTAACGATACGTTTATATAAACAAGGTGCGAGTATCAGTAGTGATATTAGTTCAGAAGAGTTAAAAAGTATGAGTTTACTGTTCCTTCTAATAAAGAATGCTATTATCGATCATTTGTAGTTTGATTTATTATTTCCATCGATAGAATCAACAAATGACATCGAGTGAAACAAAAACATGTGATCCTACTTCAGTAAAGCATTCAATAACAGACTCTGTGATTCTACAACCTGATGTTGTCAAAAGTAATTTCAAAAGTTCATATTCTTCACATAAACGGCAACCAGATGATTGATTTGCTCTAGAACCTAAAAATTCTGGCAAAAAATCAGTGTCCAATACTTACAACTTTGAAAATCATGGAATATCTGACGCAAGCAATGAACCATTGCCAGATTCTGTCGATGCTCGACGTGATGATTTTGAAATCGATACCACTCCAGATAAAAGATATTAATATTTACATTCATACCTATACGAAGAAATCTTTTTTTCGTAGGACCGGGTGCCTACGCGCCGGAAAATACAATGAGATCAATATATAAATCAGCACCTGCATACAGTTTTGCAGGACGAGGCTACACCTTCCGACGCGACACAACACCAGGGCCAGGAGCTTATTACACATGTAACTTTATCAATAAGCAAAAAGCGCCTCAATATAGTTTTGGTATCCGACACTCGATGTACAGGGCACCATTTATTGTCCAATACAAAGAGTAGTAAGATTGCGGTGTCATTGAGAAATACTTTTACAATCTTCTTTTTCACAGAAGATGGAATAGTGATTCATGAAATCAACTTTATTTAAAGCAATTTTAAGATCTTCAATGTTGAATTTTCATTTTTCTCTCATTCATACTTGCTTGAGAGTGTGTGCGAGTTTGGGCTGTGCATGTGTAGGTGTAGGTGTAGCTGGATGGAATGTAGATGTCGAGTGTAGGTATTGGCTTTGTCAAAGTTAACATTCACATCCCACACCCTTCTTTACTTAAATTGCTAAAACACTGAAAATAAAATGTCTATGCTAGTAGAGTCTAATGATGACTATGTTAGTCAATTTAAAACAAGATAGCAAGATTCAAACATAATTTTAAAAACAATCAGTTCTATTATTGAACTTTTTTTCTGAATAAGTTATCGAGTAACAGCAGCAGTCATTGAACATAATCTTTCAAATTGAATAGCATTTTCTTGCATGAGTTGGGCGAATTTTTCAAAATAAGATTTCAGTTCTTGCCGGGTTGGAGTTACATATTTTTTCGCAGAGTTTTCAACGATGTATTTTGGCTTCGTTTTCTTTACATTTGAATCATATAATTTGCGACGATTAGCTTTTGGCGTCTTCTTCAATGATGAAATTTCGATCGACAGTAACGGTAAACGCGGTGGTTTCTGTGACTCATCATCAATGGTGATGAATTCGTTAGTAAAAACTTGTGATAAGCCATTGATACACTCTGATGTCTGTGTGCGGGCACCGTAAGTGCGCTCCTTATCCACAGGAGATGGTCCAAAAAAGATTCGTTTAAATGGTTTCTCGATTGGGCGTTTAAAAATACCATGCTCGAAGGTAGACTGAAGTTTGATTGAAGAAGATTGCACTGGCGAAAACGATTCGACATGCAACTGTAAATGTTTTAACACATAGTCAGGCATTGGAAATACAGCATCATTGATATCGCCACTTGGTGAAAATGGTGGTAGATTTTGTTTTGTAATATTCGTCGGTTTTCTTAACCAGCGCTTTATCGTTTCCGCCAGCTCTGTTAAAAAACAGATGGAATGTTTTAGAGAAAGCAGAAACTCAGTTGTTCATGCGATCGTGAAATAAAGATATTTAGTAATTTTCAGTTTAGCAGAGGGATAATTAATGTTCTATCTACGTAAAGAGCTCGGATAATTAATTTACCTGTATCATTCTTATAGTTGTCGGTGTTATAGTCGGTTCTTTGACTTATTTCATCCGATTCAGTTGCATTTTCATCTATGCTGCGAATAACACTTTGGGCTTGGTGAATTAGAGTTTTCATTTCTTTTTCTTTGATTTGTCCAATTTTCATAAGTTTTCTAATTTTCTCTTCGTACATGGACCGACGTTGTTCGATTTTCACTGAAGTCTGATGTTCATTATTATTTCTTTGCTGAAGGAGAAAAGCATGGCCTGGTTTGGTAAAGCGCAACTATCGAAAAAAAAACTAAAGTTAAAGATTGATGGATATTTCAAGGACTACACACTATTTCAAGTAGTAACTTGCTGAATTGCAAATCAAAATGATTTTCTGATCCAAACAATTGAAAAAATAATTTTTCTTCGAAAACTTCTCGCTGCCAGCCAATTAGTTGATCGTTTCGAATCTTCACTGAGAAAACTGGTTTGCCCGATTGAAAAGCATATCGAGCTTCTTTCTCACATGACGAACTTTCGTAATAATTTTCGCTGATACACAGAATAATACAGTCGGATTCGTCGATTCGAGAGGAAACATCACGCTGTTCATCGGATACTACAGCGTGTGTCCAAATTGCGAAACCTTCGTCCATCAGTCTGTCAATAAGACGTTGACACATTCTATTATCTTCTTGACAATAACTAACCATAATATTATAGCTTTTACCATGCCCAGTGGCAGCTCCAGTAACAGATCGTCTTGAATGAATAGCTGCTGAACTTGAACGTTCAGTTAATGGTGACCATTGTAATTTTTCTGCTGTTAAATCACAAAGAAAATGCCATTTCTGTTGAACTTCATGAACATTGTTCACTGGACCCATTAGTTCAAGTTCTGTTTTGGTTCGATCGATTTGTGGTAAAACACATCTATCTGTGCAATACTTATAAAACGTATTTATTGTGAATTGATCCCAGTGCTGGAAGACACCATTAGAATTTTTCAATATCTGTGAATTAGTGCATCGTTTCCAGTAGCTATTTATTTTCTCCTGACATTTCGCCAGGTCTGCAGGCTCAGATCCAATAAGCGTGATTTTCATTACTGGAATGGAAAATTTAAAAAAAATCATCCCCTTTATATTTATCCTACCTGTATATGACCAGTCGAATTGAGCATAAATATCTTGTATCGTTCCCATTATGGCGAAGAATTGATTGAGCAAAGTTTGTTGTTCTGGTAATAGGATAAATGAAATTTTCATTTGTAAATTTTTAGACTGCAGCAACTGTTTTGCTGTATCAATCATTTCTTGTGCTAGAATGATTGCATTACTGCATGAATCTGGCACGCCAAATGCTATTGATGCCGAATGTCCCTCTTTTATTGTGTATTCAATGGATTTTGAAATAAATATATGTATTGATTTTTTTAAATCAGCATCATTGGTAATTTTGGATGGCGTCCAGTTGGAAAATAAGATCTTTCTGCAACTCAACTTACCCCCATCAGTCTCAGTAAACTTTGTACCAGCTTCATCTTTATAAGTATTCTCATGATGGAATGGACCTGCTCGTTCAATTACACTCTCCTTTAATCCATTGAATGTAGTCGGAATGACAATGATATCAACCTAAAAGAACATTGAAAGCTAAGAGTCGATATTACTCTTAAAGGTTACCTCTTGCAGAGCTATGTCTCCTGTACGAATTTCGATGGAACCATTCGAAACAACGATTCTGCTAAATACATATGGCGAAGAAATATAATCATTAGATTGCTTCACTATTGATTTCACCACTTGTGTTGTAGATGACAAGACTTTTGGTACTGTGTAACACCGAGATTTGTACCTTAATTCTATCATTGTAACACAATGACACTTGTGTGCAATATTTTTGACATGTTTTTCGGCTATATCAACTATACATTTGGATAATGGTATACTCTTGAATGTTGTCGACATTGATTTTGATGATAGTTGTTTAATACAAGATTCAATTTCATCTTTCAGATTTTGAGGTGCAGAAAATTCGTTCGATAGCAATCGTATATTAACACCGAATTGTTCGTACTTTTTTTCAATTTCTCGTATTTTTCTTGAACAATGTTTGTGAAGGAACTCAAGCTATATAATAGTAAAAATAGTCATAAGTCACAGTCTCATACAAGAAAAAGATTGTTTACTTGAGGGGCGTCGAGTGATTTTAGTTGAAACTTAATTACATTATGTCGGGCGATTACATTTAATAAATCATTCTTCAATTGATTTACAGCTGCTGGGTAACCGAAAAACTCGAGTATACATTGCATTGGCTTCAGCCCTGAATAGTTATGAGTCCAAGAAACACAAACATTACCGTCTGCTTCTGCTTTTCTTGCTATCTTTTCTGATTCCCTGACGATTTCTTCGCACTGTTCATTCGAAAATGGTATTCGTACTGTTTTTTGTGAAATACCGCATCGGATAAATTTGTCAAGATCTTTGCTATCAGGAACACCGGATAGTTCTTGTGGTAAATAATAAATTTTTAACGTATTTCCTTTACTTTTTTCACACACACAAAATAGATTATGGACTTCTTTGTCTAGAAGTTTTTCAAGAAATTGAAGCTTATTTGTTTGCTTTATCAAGTCTCCAAGCCGTTCTTTAACTATAACAAAGCCAAACAGTAGCGAAAAACGAAAAGAACTCAAAAAAAAATGATTCTTCATTTTTCTAGTGAATTATTTTAAATTTACGAACCTTGCTGCTTAGTGAATGATTGATATTGAATTGCCTCGAAAAGATTTTTGAAAAAATCTGAGACGGCTTGCTGCAGTTCTGTTCTATTCTCATGAATGCCCAATAAATTAATGTTGTAGTCAGATGAGAGATAGTCTAAGCTCCATCTGTGGCCCTGCCGTTCCATCGGGATTATCGCAATTTCTATTGAGAATAAGTTTTGCAAATATTCTTGCAAGCGTAAACAAAATTTTGGCTTGTTCAAAAATTTCTTTTGAATAACATTGTCGATCGTACAGAGGATTGTGTTTGTATCATTTGTTAACATTTTAATTTTAGAAAAATCTAACACAAAATAATTCGTATAATAGAATGCGATAGAAAGATCATGGTCAACAGAAAAGAAGCAAAAGTGCGCCAGACAAAAACATCAGAAGAAAAAAATGACACTCATCCTTGAATGACGGATGCGAAAGGTGAAGCAAAATAATTCTGATTACATTCAGCCTTCTCTCAAGAAATGTAAAATGTAGACTCATTTTTTCTGTGAGAGAAAGCATGCAAAACAATCTAAAATAATAGTGAAAGTTTATTCTTTCTTCTTTTCATTTTTTTTCTTTTATAAGGTCAAAAAATAAAGTTGTCTCAAAGAGAGTAGCGAATAGGATTCATACGGGAGCAAATTTATTCAGACATTTTGTGGAGAAAAAATAAAGTTTATTATATTTAAGAGTGGTAAGTAATTTGCCTCGTCTTTTTGATTAATGTGCAAAACATTCAAGAGTGTTGATTATTCGTCATTTTCATGCATATCATTCTTGTCTTTAAATATTTTGCAGATAAATAGAGAAGAAGTATTTTAGCACCATCTACTTTAGTGAGAACTGAATATTAGATTCTGATTTTCATAACGATATCTACATTCATTTATAAAACAAAAGCAAGATAAAGCATCAGACATACTAAATATAGAAAACCAAAAACTATTTTATGAATGTAACGATGGCTACTTTGATGTTTGTTCTCATCTTAACCATGCTTTCATCTTCAGCTATACCATCTCAATCTCATTGTATTGAAGTTCAGTTCAGCGGTTCAGCGCTTAGAAGTCAATATTTAGGCGTTCGAAGCATATTTTTCCCTACATTAAGGGCGAATATCTCTCCCTAAAAAACAATTTCGTTTCCATTTGAATTGAAGTGCAACTCTATGATAAGAAAACCACAGAGCAAGTTGGAATTCAAACTTACGCCTACTATATAATAGTGAGTTTCACAATAGTTTTGTACAAGGGAGATCTGTTTTCGATTTCTTCATCTACCAGACTACGAACCAACGAAATTGACGATTGCAAAAATACAGTATAAAATTTTTCATTTTCATTCTCTTGTCTCTTCGTTCTTTATTTTCAAACTTTTACGACATAAAAAAACGAGAATCGTACTTTTGCTTTCTCTCAAGACACTTAAATAGAGTAGATTTCATGCTTTATTCACTCTTTTAAGTTGATTTAGAATCAGTGAAGAAAAAGAAAAATTTCGTATATTCTTACATATTCCATTTCAACGTTATCTGGTGAGTTCAGAAACAGAAAAATGTGTCGATTACATATTATCGATGCTCTATATAACTTTTTATTGGAATTAAATGATAGTTCGTAGAAATTTGAGTACTGTTTTGGACTGATATTAGACTCTCTGATGAGTTTAATGAATTTTCATGAAAATCTATTGATAAAGTCGATCCTATTTGATTCAGACTGCTTTTCGGTTCGTGAGATTGTAATGATATTTTGAAATCAACGAAAAATATGATCGGAATCAATACGATAGCCATACCTTAGTAATTCGAATATATTTTGTCATTTTTGTTCACCTATTCAAGGTAACAACATTTAATTGTCTAGAAAGATTGAACAAATCTGGAACGAGCAGAGTACATTTTTTAATCATAACTGCATTGAATGGCAAGTTGGACGACTGAACAAGTGGGAGAATGGTTGAAAAGTGTTGGTTTTGAACTATTCATCAGAAAATTCAAGGGTAAGTAAAGTGTTGTTTTAATACAGAAGTTTGTCTTATCGACTTGACATTCTTTATAAAAAGAAATTGATGAAAAATATAATCTTGATTATTGTAAAACATGAGAAATTCTTTCGCAATGGACGAAATAATATACAATTCTTTTCTATCTTTTTCTATTAGTCCTTTCTTATTGACATTTCTCTTAACTATTCATATACGAGAAAACAATGGCAACAATATGCTGAATTTTGTTTTCACGCATTGGATACTTATATTCTATTTACAATATAAAGAAAGAGAAGGACAAAAATGAAACGACATGAGCATGCATTTGTAGTTTATTCTAAATAAACAGGTTACATATATTTCTGACTTCAACAGAGAATTTTCGGATCTCAATATACAACTTCTTCCATCTAAAAACTTCCTAATGTTATTTGAAGTAAATTCAAGACAATTCTACTAATTTTCTCTACTCTAGGTAAATGTATTGATGGCAAAGCTCTACTAACTTTGACTGATGATGCCATGGTTCAATTATTCTCCGCAAGTGATCAAGACGAAAAACAAACTAAGAAAACTATTAAAAAATTCAAAGAAAAGTTACAAATATGGAAAACGGAGCATAGTGAAGAGTTGAGCGGACGAAAAAACGAGTAGGATATTTACGCAAAGAGTTCATTTCTTATATCCATTTTCTCAATTCTAGTGGTAGAAGTTCAGTGATGTTCACATTGCCATCTATGATTATTACAAATAAAGATGAAGTCCATATAGATGATCAAATTACTAATATAGCCTACACAAAAAGCTTCTCTCTTTCTCATGATAATAGTCGAATCAATATAAAATTTTTCAATAATTCAAGTTTTCGTACAAAATTGCAACAATATTTATCTCAAACATATAACATAACATGCTCGATTGAATTAGAACCACAGCAAACTGTCTTAAGTTTGACTGGTATGAAACCTCAAGTGAAAACTGGTTATCGTGACATCAAAGTTCTATTCGAATCCATACAAACGAAAATCTATAATTCTGAAGCTACAGATCAAAAAAGTAAAATATTTACTACTATCGGAATTTTAAAAGAAGGCAGTCGAAAAAAAGCTTATAACTTTTGAACGAAAA